CTAGTACTGCTCCTGGTTGGCGGATAGGTATTGCCATAAATGTGATGCACCTCTAGTCCCATCACCCCACTTACTAACTCCCCTTCTCCCAGCCCCTGTCCTAGGCAGGAGGATAGCTGTGCTTTTCCTAGGAAAGGGAACCTGTTGTTACCTGTCTCAGATCCAACGTCCTGGCGTTCGAGTGCTTGGATCAGAGGCTTTGGCGTTCAGGCTGTTAGAAAACAGAGCCAACTAGGAAGCTTGGCAGGCTAAATCCAAAAACCTCTTGTCAGTGTGGGGGCTGTATTTTTTAATCTGTCTTTTATCTAACTTGAACGAGCTCTAGTTGGTGTAGTGAAATGGGCAGGGCTCCATAATCTATGTCTTGGTGCAACTGGTGCTCCTGGGGCAGTTCTGTGGCAAGCAAACGCCCTTGTTACCTGCTGCTGGAGGAGGAGATGCAGCAGCTGCAGCATCATCCCCCTGCCCTTTCTCCTTCAGGTCAAGGAGAAGGGAGTCTTGAGTGTTTCCTAAGTTGTAACCCTCCGAAATCACCGGTCCAAAAGCGCATGCCTGTAATGTGTGGCGTGGGTCTGCTGGATGCACACGCAGTGTGTCCCTCGTCATGCCCTCTGTTTTGTGACAGTGGTGCCAAGTTCTTGTCTGGTCTCTTTGCAGAGCACCCAGTACTACGACATGCGCTGGTCCTGTGAGCACCTCATCATGGTGTGGATTAATGCCTTTGTCATGCTCACCACTCAGCTGCTGCCTCCCAAGTACTGTGACCTGCTCCACAGATCAGCTGCCCACCTCGGCAAGTGGCAGAAACTAGAACATGGCTCCTACAGCAATGCTCCACAGCATATGTGAGTGTGGGGATGGGGAAGGGTTCGCATGCCCAGCAAGGGCCGAGAAGACAGTCGAGTAGATGAGCACTGCTGATTCTTGCTGCTCTGCTGGGGAAGCTTCCCCATTCATCACAGTGCCGGGGGTCACAGATGCAATGCTGTTGGTCTTTCTGTTCCCTATGAACAGAAGCACCTGCTCAGGAGAGCTGCCTGAGCTCCTCTGGTCACTGCTGGTTCGTTGCCAGAAACAAACCACCGAGATTCCTCTTGGCCACTGGAGATGGAGTTTGCACGGGGGCAGAGGGCGGCCTCCTCCGACGCAGTGGGCTGGGTTCTTGCACTGGGAGCCACTTGCTCACGTTACTCGGTGTCAGAGTCCTTCTGGTGAGCTTGTGATCACCTCTCTGTGCTTTTTCCAGTGGGAACTGGGACATGTCCTCGTGGCAGAGGCTGTGGTAGTTTTCAAGATGCATCTGTCCCGTGAACCCACATCCGTGGAGTTGGGAGCATCCTCCCGCTGGCGTTCCCTCAGATGCTAACGCTCTGGCATTCTTTCCCCGCAGCTGGTCAGAAAACACAATATGGCCACAAGGAGTTCTGGTGCGACGTAGCCGATGCCTGTATAAAGCAGTTGGGCCTTACAACGTAGCAGTGCCTTCAGATGTGTCCCATGCCCGCTTTTATGCAAGTATCTCTTCTCTTGCTTGATGTTCTGTGATGGTGGGAGGGAGGGGAGGCTCAAACCAAGCGGCAGCAGAGCAGACCGTGTGGAACAGAGCTCAGTGCTCTGCGGCACGCTGGTGCTGCTAAAGAAAATCCCTGTTTGCAGCAGAGGGGCTTTCCTGTTGCAGTACTACAGTGATGTCTGGGCGAGATGGAAGCCACGGCTGCCTTGTCAGTCATGGTGACGTGGCACTCCCATCAGGCAGCGGCATATTCTTAGGAGGGTGCTAGTTAACAGGGAAGTACGTCAGCTGGCCAATAGGTTATTTCACCCATCCTCCTCTTCTCGAGCAAAATGACACTTCTGCATGCCTTGTTTCTCACGCTGCTGTCCTGAAGTGGCAGCTAGCGGTGGCCGGAGTACAAACACTTCTTCTGCCCAGCACAGTGGGCGCCAGCTCAGCAGTGCCTGACAGCGTTACGTACACACCCCTCCCCACTTCTAACACTGCAACAAACGACGGAAACCTGTCCTTTTTAACTGTCTCCCTGCAGTTCCTTTTCCACCGTCCGTTACGGCTGCTCAACCTGCTGATTCTCATCGAAGGCAGTGTGGTCTGCTACCAGCTCTACTCGCTGCTGCGCTCAGAGAAGTGGAACCACACCCTCTCCATGGCCCTCATCCTTTTCTGCAATTATTACGTCTTATTTAAGCTCCTCCGGGACCGGATAGTATTAGGCAGGGCATACTCGTATCCACTTAACAACTATGGACTCAAGGCACACTAGGCCGGCCAAACATGTACCCCTTCTCTTTCCTTTCCCACAGGGCAGGGAGGGAACCTCAGAAAAAAAAATATTTTCGTACAGTTCTATTTTTTTCTTGCGGCGTTTATAAATATTTAAAATATTTTATATTTTGTATACTATTGTTTTTGTGGGGTGGGAAGGGACCCAGTGGCAATTAAATGTCGCTTTATAAACAAGGTGTTATTTTATATATATAAAAAAAATCAATGTGTATATACCGTATATCTATACCCATACATATATCTATGTGAAGCAACAGGATTGTGTGTGTGGTCACTGTGTCTGCTTTGCTCACACAACTGCCTTGCTACTGTATACTGTGGGGATACGACTGCGGGTCATTAGCAACCAGTCTGCTGTAGAACTTGGATAAGCGAACAGCCAGGGGAAGAAAGGAAACACGGGGCCTTTCACCAGGATGAGTAAAGTTTATCTTTGTAACCTCAGTACCAGGGAAGTCTTGCACTGGAAGTGTGCACTGATGTGATACTGAGGAAGGGAGGAAGCAGTGTGTAGAAAGACAGACAAAGTTTGCCACTGGCTCTCAGTTCTTCTTCCCGCTATTAGCAGCATGCAAGTATTATTTTTAAAAAAATAACAGATTTTTACTTCAGCTTCTCTCTCTCCTCCTAACAACCTGAGCTCCCTCACTCTGCCCAGAGAATGAAGCAAATATTGAAACTGTAATTTTAGGGTAGTATATCATTCAGGAGGGGATCTGAAAGAGCTAGCTTTAGCAGGATGGTAAGTGGATGTTTTAAACATCTATCTCTAATCCCTTGAGTAATAGCATTAAATTAGGGAATATACAGCCATTTCCTTCAAGCAGTAATGTTCCTGGCAGAAATTTATTCTTGTCAAATACTTATCCACTCCCTTATTGCTGTACAATGCACTCCAGCAGTGTTTCACTCTAAGGTATGTTGGTAGTGTTTAATAACTTACCATTAATAATAGAGGAAATAATACTTTGCTTTTAAACTGTTCTTCATGAAGCTGAACTATACCAGAATCCAGTGAAAAAATAGTTGTGGCAGTCCCCACATAGAGGGACTGAAGATAAAAGACAGTATCAACCATATAATTAATTTAACTGTGGATGGTGGTGACAGCTGATGGTAGGAGTTGATGCTTTAACTCAGGGAACTGAGGAGGAGATGGCAATGCAATGTTCTTCCATTCAGATGCCACCTGACTTAACCATTAGTAAAGTGCTAGCTTTGTTTGAAGATGGGATATGTATGGGGAAAAAAACCCTGAAACTACTGAGTTTGGGAGAAACTGCAACTACTTTCTGCTCCTTCTTTCCTTCCATGCCAAGTAAGAATACAGTGATCTTCTCTGCTCCTCCAGCAGCCTGATCACAAGCCCAGGATCCCTGATGAGGTAGGTAGGCAACAGGAGATGCCTCTGACCATTAACCCTAAGCTACTCCAAAACAAACACAAATACTTAGTTACTCCTAGGCCTTTTCTTATCTTTCATGTGGCCCTAGTGCCTCTGGCGGGACACAGGTACTTTGGAGTTTACAGTCTGGGGCCTCTCGGTGAAACGCAGTACTGAGGCTTAGAGCCATGTCACGCTGTATGTAGTATAGCCTCATCTTTAATCCACGTCTTAATTCTACCTTGATTACTTCAGGAAGTACATTTCGGGTAAGAGCAGGTTGGCTTCTTATCTAGAGCAGGCTCTTTGCTGCACATGGCTTTGTGCAACACCTTTCTTGCACCCAGCTTCAGTTCTTGCAGTAGCTCAGTGGCATTTCCTACGAATTTCACCTGTTTTTAATAGCTGGCTCAGCACCCCTTAAACAGTATTTCACAGCATTACCAAGAAGTTTCTTCCATTTGGACACAAATGATAGCAGACTTATAAGAAACCAGTGGGAGAAAAGAGGCTCTCCAGGGCTTAGCCTGGGAAATAGAGATGTGCAACAGAAAGCCAGAACCCTGAACCAGGGCTTTGGGTCACAGAGCTGATGAGGGTTCATGCCCTGCTTTCTCCTCCCCTTGCACATAAGGCTGAAGAGAGGCAGGGCTGCTCAGGCAGTGAGCACACCCGTACTCTGTGCAACAGTTAGACTGACCTTACACTGTTTGCAGCAGACGGGACAGCAGCTCAGTGGCACCTCCATAGTTTTGCTCTGAGGCCCTATCTAAGTAAGGGGCCAAAACACAGGCTACCTAACTGCAGGTGTGGTACAATCCTCCTTGTTCCAAGGGAAGCCAGGCATTATTTGCAGCCTCTCCCCTCCAAAACAGTACTTTTGTTATATTCTGGAGCAGGAGGAGCTCTGTGAGAAGGTTTAAGGTCTAGAGATTGCACCTTTCTAAGCACAGTAGTATGAACTGCCTGCATGCAATCCTGTAGATGCAGTTGTCTTCCATCTTTACCTACGAGTCCTACATGGAAGGAAGTTGCAGAAGATAGTTGCAGCTTCCCCTGTTGGCAAAAACACAGCGAGGAACTAGCTAGCACAGTTGGTCTCCCCAGTATAAACTGGACTATCCAATAACAGAGGGAGCAGAAATGACGTCTGCTCAGCATCAGTGCCTGCTTAGATCGGTGTTCCTCCCCATTCCTCAAATGCACCTGCTACTAAGTCTTACTCAGATGAACATTGAAAACAAGTCCACTCTAATACTTGTTCAGGTCAGACTAGGGAAAAAAAGAGATTTATTCCCCATCCTCGTCACTCCTTCATGCAAGGATGTCGTAATAAATGTATGGTTTTTTGGTCTGGCAACGGAACTGCTCCAGTTTCAGGCCAATCCTCAGAAGAACAGCTTCATCCCACCATTTTGCCATGACCTGGGAGAAGATGAGAGAGGCAGAGAAGGGGGGCGGAAGTAGCATGATCGCATAGAGACACTCTTGAAAGCCCTGGAAAACATAATTTTTCCCCCCCCAACAGCACCTAAAGGACACATACTTTTCCCTTTTACTCCAATAAGCATGGCATCGCTGCATTTGGGATAAAGGCAGCTGTGGGACAATTACAAGACATGGACCTTTCATTTACACGAGACCCTTTTCAAGAGGGAAGGACTTAAAGAAGTTACAGAAATGAGAAATAAGAAAAAGAGAGGAAAGAGTAGTGACAAATATAGGGTACTGATGCACGTAGACAGGGAGACAGACAAATCTATCTCCCAGACACCTGAAGAGTCCCTCTGCCACTCAGGAGTGAGTTACTCTGAGGCAAATCTCCACCCACAAGTTAAAATCTGTATTACCAGTACCTGCCAACTCGCTCAGGTGTGCTGTGTGGAACAGCAAGAGCCTGGTTATAGTGTTACCTGGTTAAAGCCAGCTGGGGATTTTGTGCCCCAGCATTCACAAAGAGCGAGTGCTCACCTGGAAGCTGATGGGAAGCCCAGCAGTAGAGTATCCAATGGGGACCACAAGGCCTGGAATCCCAGTGAAGTTACCCAGCTGCATGAACCTGGGGGAAAAGCTATCATCAGCCTTCCTGCCTTGGGACAGCAAAGTCATCCCTTCTGGGGAGAGGCAGCTAGGATCAATCTCTCCTGCTCTAGAGACTGAGCTCCTTCAGTTAGCGCAGCTGGTCTCCAGCTGTTCCCAAACTTTTGCTTCCATAGTGCAAGCAGCACTCTTACCTCATGGACCGGACTGCGAAGGACATATCGCTGCTCCCAGTCGAGAGGTCAGATTCATAGATTCTTGGGGCAGTGCAAGCAACAGCTGTGGAGGAATCACAAAATGACTGCCATTGAAAGGGACCTCAGGAGGTCATCTTGTCTAACGTTCTGTCTCAGGGACGGTCAGCTAGAGCAGGTTGCCCAGGACCATGTCCAAAAGGCACTTGAATATCCGCAGGGATGGAGATTCCACAGCCTCTCCAGGCAACCTGATCCAGTGCTTAAAGAGCAAAGGAAGAGTCAGGCAGTAGGTACCCTTCAAGGAACAGCTCACTTCATTAAAGCCACGTGTTTGATACACATTGGTGATGCAAACTCACGGCCCTGGAACTCAAGTCGCTGGGATTTATGAATTAAACAGTTTCTATTTAGAGCAAAAACATCTACGTAAGTTCAAGGCCAGGCTGGACAGCGCTCTGAGCATCCTGGTCTAGTGGAAGGTGTCCCTGCGCACGGCAGGGGCATTGGAACTAGATGATGTTTAAGGTCCCTTCCAACCCAAACCATTCTATGGTAAGTAGATGTCCAGTCCCCTCCATGTAAATGTGCTGGCTCTGCAGCTCCTGTTTCAAGTACCAGGAAAGAGCTTTTCACTGCCATGGGTATAGGCAGTAAGTCTAGAAGTACACAGCAAATCTAGAATTACACAGCAGTCTTTCTAACCAGGCTGCATTCTCTTCTAAAGGCTCAAGGCACAGCAAAGTATTTACACAGAAGTCATGGTCTTAGAATTAGGGAAGGAAAGTTAATGGAGTGACTGTTCTTGAAATGCACCACACAGCTATCAAGGACCGTATCTTTGGCCAAGACTGCCAATACCTGGTGTAAGGATACAGTTCACAGTGGTGAAGATCTCTCGCAAAAATCTCATGCTCCGAGTTCTCTGTCGATTTGCCTGCAAGCAGAGAGACTACTGTCTGACCAGGCCCTCTTGGTTCATGAGGCTCGTTTGATGTTCACAGGCTCTGCCCATCAGAGTCTGTGCCTTTGCAAAAGAAGACACCATTCCTGCAGTTTGGAACCCAGAGGCAGGACACCAGTGCAGGTGGCATGTCCTCTGTGGTGCCCCACCATTCAGCATGCTTTCACAGCAGAAGGCAGTACAGCCAGGTGGTATCTTTCCACGTGTACACGGAGGTTAAGAGAATCCTCTACCCCACCTTCAGAATATCACTAGGTGCCTCCCTTCAGCCTTCACCACAGTATGTGCCTTACCGTAATATAATCCAGAGCTGTGAACTGGGAAGCCAAGGCCAGGTTAGCCCGAGTATCCAAATTCTGAAAGAGGAAACATCAATCACGGCTCTGCTGGCAAAAAAATGAATGTGGCAGCCCAGGAGTTCTCTTCCAGGTCTGCTCTCCTGTATCAGTAGTCATCCAACAGATGGCTTGTCATAGAAAATCAGGAGAGCCTCAGGTTTCTCACTGACTTGACACTTGTTCTATGTCAGCCGGGACAACTACTGGCACTGATCCAAGCTGCTGCTACTTACCATTTCCTGGAAATGTTTATTGAAGTCAGGTTGCAGGAAGTCCCTCATCTCACTGAGAATGCAGATTACATGCGCTACTCGCACTTCCTCCATCTCTGGAAGAGACACTTCAACCACGCTGGCTCCCAAACTCTGCAGGTGCTCCACAGCTGCATATAGAACAGGTAAAGCACAGACAGCAGCCCTGAGTTCACCAAACTTCACAGAAGGGCTGCGAATCACCCCCCCACTTGGGAAGTTAAGAGACCCCACAGGCCATCATAAGGCCAGCATCCTCAGTACATTCTGTGGCATGCAGACTGCTGCTTCTCGTAGGTAAAAGCCTTCAGCCTAACTAGATCTCAGTACTCCAAGAGGGCGGGGATAGGGGCTTGCAGGCAGGTTCCTAAATTACCTGCTACATTTCAGGCAAGTTCATCTCCTCCCTGTAGCCCCCCAGTTAACCCAAAGAGTAAAGGTGGACTGACAATGCTTCCATGAGCACTTGACATGACCACATGAAGTGATTATTCAGCATCATGACATTCCCATTCAAAGCCTCTTCTGAACCATAATGGTAGAGGAACCCGGGGGATACTCAAGAGACCACATCAACAGTACAGGTTTACTAAATCCTGATGCACTGTAGCAAGGCTGAACACTAAGACTTCGGGAAAAGTGAATCTCTGGCCATCTAAAAAAGTCCCCTTCTTTTTTGGACCTCAACTTCTTCATAAATACCCAAGCTTGTCTATTCCTCTGGCATATGGTGCATCTTTCTTAAGAAAACACTACACAAATAGAAGCCTGAGTGTCTACAGAAATATTGTGAACTATCTCGGCTCCAATGCACAGGAGGCCAACTACTATACCAGGCATTGTAGAGTCTTTCTTCCCCACCCCCAAGTATTCACCAGAGTCAATTTTGCTTAGTCTAAAATCTGTTGCATCTAAAAAGCCACCCTAAAGGCATCATTTGGCTGATTTCAAGCAAATACCAGAGGACTGGACATATCACAAAGACCTAGCCATGTCTTTCCTACTGAATATTATGTTGTGAAACAATTCCCTCCCTTAAAAGTCTTCTACTATTAAAGCCTGCAGAGTAAGTATTACTGAGCACAGATCTGTCTTTATACAAGACAGAGGCTTAGCACACTGGACTGCATTCTTCCATTGTAACCTGACAAGCCTGCAACTGCTGAGCTTTTTAACCCTCAACAGTCAGGAAGACTTCCCTAATACAAAGCTACTGCTGTTTGTTCAGCCAGACTTCTTCAAGCATCTGCCTTTAAGGACTTTAGGTGAGATCTTTCTAATGCATACAGAAGAGCAGCACAAAGTCATACCAAGACATCAGGCAAAATAAGAGACTTACAAACTTTTCCTCTTTACCTTTCTCACAGACGGACAGGACTTCAGCATCACATGCCTAGAGAAAAAGAGGAAAGAACTAAGCAAACTTTAGTAACTGCCCTCCTCTTCTTGGTGAGCACACTCACCAGGACTTGGGTCCTCATGGAGCTTTTCTTGTTCCTGTCCCTAACTGCAGTGAAACACAGCCCTCCAGGACTGCCTTAGGCCACCTGCTTTAAGAGAACAGCTTGCAGGTCATACCCTTATGGAAAAGGAAAGGTCATCTTTTCCAGAGGAGAGGATATTCCTCCTCTGCACTGGGGCAGAGCCAGAAATGGTCCTTGTTTTTCACCAGGGAAGAAATCCTAAGCACATCTGTGGTGTTGCATTACAACTGCCAAGTGGTACTAGCTTGCAAGCCCGGTTTCTACACTGGAATGATGAAATACCACTCAGCAGCTACGGCATTGTCACCAAATGGATAGACTAATTTTCCTCGTTTGATTTTAAACTGATTGCCTTTTGTAATGAGTTCAGAAGCATCGCTTCCAACGGAAACAGCAGTATGAGGAAGCATACTGCCATCAACTGTGCAGTCGTTACCTTTCCTCATGCCTCCAATAGACTTTTACTGAAAAGACTGCCTTAGGAAAAAAATCTATCCCTGTTGAGGTTTTCATCCAGGCTATATTCTCTTCTAATTATAGAACTAAATATGAGAAGCTGTAATGATGGCAGGCAAGAGAACAATGAATGCACTGAATTCCTTCAAAATCTCATTTTGCAAAGCAGCAGAAAGAGAGACAGAACAGGCACCTTAAAAAATGTCCAGTCCACTCCCAGTTTTAAGCCTTTCAGGTCAGGAGCACACATATCAGAGAGGGTTGCTTTGGGCTGTTTCAGTCCTGCAGGGAACAAACAAAGATTCCTCCTTTTGTCTAGGGTGCCTCTAGGAAGGCAGAGCACCTGGGCTCGGGGAGGGAGAGGGCTCACTTACCATACGGATAGAGCGGATCCGGCTCAGCAAGGATGCTGTAAACAATGGCTGCATCTGCCACCGAGGTACAGATAGGGCCTGTAAAAGAGAGCTCAGTTATAAAAATGTGACGAGGGGTAAACAGTACCTTCCTCCCAAGGTCTTCTGTAGGCACAGATTGCCGCCCCTGTGAGAACACCACACAGCAAGGTCCCTGAAGTGGAGCACAAGTCCTCTTACCTACGCTGACTGTGGAGTAGGAGAGTGGCAAGCTGCCGTGGCAACTGATGCGCCCAAACGTACCTAGAGAAAAAGAAAGGGGCAGTTAGCTGGATATCGGCAGTCGCTGGTACGATCTGACCTACCTGGCTCTGGTGCACCCAGTCAGTAAGCAACACACCCCTGCCTGTCACTTCTATGTCTGCTGTTTCAGAGCCCAGCCACTCCTCTTTCAATACCCTGTTCTGCTGACCACGACCTGTCTCATCAGTGAAACAGATATGTTCAACACATACGTTCAACAAATAGTGAAACTGTTTTCCCCCATAAGAAATTATTTAGTTGAGGGGAAATACGTGCACGGACATTTTGAAATACATGCATTTAAATATGCTCAGGAGCAGCATCTATGGTATGGAGGATGGAGAGGCAGTAGCAGGACTATCAACAGCAGGAGATACCACCCCCGGGAGATATCACCCACTTCACCAGTGACACTTCACGCCTAACACCAGCTGTCTTCTGCGAGTACTCACATCACCTTTCTGACCAGTTACATTTTTGTCATCGTCATCATTATCCTTCTCAGGTGAATCAAGATTAATCAAGCTGATCACATGTAAAGGATGGAAAAACAGAGTAACAGCTGAGTATCTGGTCCCAGATGAAGCTTCCGAGATCCTCTGAAATGATAAACCATTCCCAAAAGCCAGCACCTCTTCCAAGTGACAATCCTGCCTCACCACCTTCCATGCTGTAGACAGTCCTCTGCATTTCTTATGTCCTCTGCACATTCCCCTTGATTACATTAATTCTTACTGCAAAAACTACATTGCCACTTCTTGTAATACTGAGATAAGAGGGAATGGCTACATCCTGGTTTCATACATGCCTTTTACCAGGTTTAACTTAGCAGATACAAATTTGAGCAGCATCAGCCTCTCCATATAATTGGGGTGATGGGAAACCATTGTGGGTTGAGATGCTTTCCACCAGCTCACTACAGATACCCAGCTATGTTTTTTTTAAACATCTGTTCAATAGCCAGTACTGAGTTTTTTTAAACATCTAAACCCAGCTAAGTTTTTTTAAACATCTGTTCAATAGCCAGTACCAAGAATACTTCCACTCTGCCAGTCCAGCCCACATGACTCTCAGGGTGTCACACTCCAGAGTTTCTCTGGTCAAGTTTTGCTTGACAGGAATTAATGGACTGTGCCCGACTTGTTTGTGGCATTCTCTCTGATACAGCAAACAAGACACACAACCCCTTTAACAACAATTACAGGGCTCTACCTTTCAGCCCCACCACACCACAGAACGAAGCAGGAATCCTCACAGAGCCGCCTCCATCTGTGCCAATAGCCACCGGGCAGAGACCTAAAAAAACCCACACATTAGCCTGTGATCAGACAGAGTGTTGCCCTGTCCATTCTACCAGCAGCTGTAGCCAAGACAGCACACAGAGCTCTCTGTTCAGCTAGTAGTTCCCTCCAGCTTCTAAGCCCCCTCATAAAAACTAAATGCCTGAGGAACTTTGGCTCAGGACCTTCCTCCCACCCCCCCTGAACTCTCTCTTGCAACACCTACCTGCTGCTACAGCTGCTGCTGACCCACTGGAGCTCCCACCCGTGAAGTGGTTAGGCTTGTAGGGATTCCTAGGGATCTTGTGGTACCTGAAGCAGACAAATAGTGTTGAATCTTTTCCTAGGAAGGACCACATGCACTACAGGGCAGGTAAAGATCCAGAAACACAGCTCAGGGATTCTGATCTCTTAGTAAAAAGATACCATTTCATCCCAGATAATGCCACGTCCCTAGAAAACAAGATGCAAAAGAGACTTCTGCCTCAGAGTCCCATCTCGTTACCGTAAGCAGCCTGTCCAAAGGAGATAGACTCAAAGCAAGAGAAAGGATGCCGCTCCAGCTCTCCGGTCTGCTACTGCACTGTGCCATTCCTGCATGCCACAGTGTATTACGCAATTCCAAAAGGTGGTCCCAGAAGGTGGTCTCAAAAGGTGGAGCAGTTGGTGGCCAGCAATTCTTACATACAAGCAAGTCAGCATCCCCAGCTCTGCCCTTTATCCCAGAGCAGCAGCTCCCCAAGTCCCCAGTCTGACCACAGTCCTCAGACACCAAAGAGACCTGCCAGGCAGCAGGGTATCCAGCCGACCTCACACAGTGAGGAAATGCCCTGGCACGTCATCTGCCGTAGCTCAGTGGGAGCCCCAGTTCCATCCAGCTGCACGTGCACAAAGCGTGGCTCTGCACGTGGCTTATCGAGGTCGTGAGGACCATTGCTTTGGAACAGCAGTTCTCAGCTTGGCTACAGCTGGAGAATTCACAACAGTAAAGCAAACACCAGTGAACCTGTTTTAGCTAGGAAATAAAACCGCTACGTTCTCCTGAGATGACTGTACCTTTTCTCGCTGTTCTGGGCCTTGAGTCATTACTGTAACTGAGCATTAGCTTACTGCTTTATTTGTTTTCCGTAACTGCTTTTGTCTACCACTCATCCTGTAAACATTCACACCTCCAGGCTTGTAAGGTCTGGCAAACCAGGTTCCTTACTCAGCAGACATCACCACCTGGATCCTCTCCTTCGGTTTCAGGAGCCTTGAGGCTTCCAAGGCTACTCTGACCCTCAAACCTACAATGCTGGGTTTTCATACCCCCAGGGTTCTCCCTGCACAGGGTGCTTGCGTCAAGTTTTATTCTCACATGCTTGCCCTACTTTTGTACCCTTCCCTGTCAGTTCTGGACAGACTTTTAGGTCTTTCTAGACCGGAGGGGAGAGAGGGGAAAGGGATTTTTACCTATTAGGGTTGCATCCGGTTGTTCCAGTCCCTAGTTCATGCATGTTTGAGACCCCAATAATGATAGCTCCAGCCTCTCGCAGCTTCTTGGCCACAGTAGCATCTTCTGTTTCAGGCTCTGTCCCAAGATATACTGTTCCCACTCGGTGATGGTAAGGTACCTTAGTAAGAAGATACCTTATTATTCATCCTAAAACCCTGGCAAGGTAGGCAGGCACATGTGCATGTGTCACAGGCACAATTCAACTCCACAACAGATGCCAGACATGAGGACCCACAGAGGTAAGTCAGGGTTAGGAAGCTGCACTCCTGAACTTGTCCTGTGTTGGTTTCTGTCAGGAGGGACACTAAACCCTTCAATATTTGGTCCTTCTCCCATGCAGAGGAGTCCTTTCAATACCATGACACAGAAGAGGAGAAACATGTAGATGGTCAAAAAGTCCGCCTCCCTGCAGCAATACAACGGCTATGCCCAGAGGCTGCAGAGCAGTCACCCTGGCCCCACAGCACACAGGAGCTCTATTTTCCATTCTTCTATGGACAGAGCTGCAGCATTTCAGATCTGCAGTGCTCTGAAGCAAGGCACCAAGATTAGATGAATGCCAAAATACCAGGTGGACTCATTTTCAGGGCATGCCAAGTATTCTTCACTTCGAGGCAGCAATGGAAGAATCTGTACATAAACAGGACTCCCACCCTATGGGTAGGTCTCTGCGGAGCCTACGACAGCTTGATGGCACCGCCAGGAGTATTTAATGGCAACTGTTATTAGGCCACAGGCAAAACTCCTTGTGAGCGGGGATTTTCAAAGTAACTTGCATATTTCTGACACGTGTTCTTTAAGGTAAGGAGAGAGGGATGCTTTGCCAGCAGAGCAGAGTCAGTGCCTGAGAAGTACAGACAGTTACACCCACCGCTGCAGATGCTTTTTTTATACATTCTCATTTCATCATAAGAGGGACTTTTTCCCACCCCCACCCTCTACTCCCCACGGATTAAAGAGATCAGTACAAGATACAGAACACGTCTGCTGTACCCAAGATCTGTCCTGGCCTGGCAACACTTGTTAATCCTACTCATTACAAACCCACATACCATCCCTTTTTACAGATAAATTCTCAGGCTTCTGCTGAGGAGTTGGCCTTAAAACCTTGTCGCAGTAAGTTGTCCACGTTGACCACCTGCAGCATGAACTGAGAGCTAGACAAGGGAACTCACCACTTTGAATTCTTCTTTCAGACACACTGGGATGCCATCCAGATAAGAGAGGGTACACTTATTCCTGTAACGAGCAGTGGAGGCCTCAGCCATCTGCATAGAGAAAAAAAGAGTGTATGTTATATATATTTATTTGAGCTGAAGGTCATTACCAGTATCAGAACGGATATCAAAAATGGTTTCTCAGGCTGCTACTAAGCCAAACTATAAAAGTTTCTTTGTTCTCCCACCATATGCCAATGGGAAACTACTAATTGGAAGCATCTATGCTAATGGATGCCACATAAGCACAGAAGTCCCATTTTAAATATAGCTGTCCAGCAGGAAACAGATTGCTTTAATGCTACCTCTCTTTGCAGGAAGGAAAGGAAACTTGTTTGTAGTCCTCTACACACGGAGGGAGGAAAAATGTACATATTTTTCTGTGCAATATATCAGTAGAAGAGCCTCTGCCCCTTCTGATGGATGCTACTGCTCTTAGGGTGGCAGAGGCCTCTCTCCTACCAGAGGCAGACATTACCAGCATTATTTGCTCCTGGTCCCATTGCACTATCGCTCTGAGTGGGGGCGTGGATTTGTCGCAGTCCTCCAGCATGGCAATGATGTTCTTTGCTACCTGAGATGGCGTCAGCTTCCCACTCCTACAGGACAGGAGAAGTTGGGACCTTGTTACAAGACCCCACACCGCACCCACACACAGGGTTTGTCTCTCATGTAGCAAGATGGCAGCTGTCACAGCTGTCAGCCAAGAACTAGATAAGAATCTGTGTGTGGTGATGATTTCAACACAGTTGACACCATTAAGACAAGAGGCTCCTTTCCTTAAGAGGAGAATTTGCCTACACAGCATGCCCCCAACCCTTAGAACAGGGGCAGGAGCTAGGAGAGTTACCCAGATATTCCTGAACCACCAGATAAACAGGGAAGGACAGCTGACAGCTTTACAGAGAGTCCTCAAGCTCCTGAAAGCCTGAGGCTAGGAAACTCCCAGTATCATGAGCTAAGTCCAAGAGGCCAGCCTCACTTTTATACAGGCCTCCCATTACAGAGAATGGGCTCCCAGCAGTGCTGTCATAGCCCACCTTCAACAAAGAGGCCTTCCCTCCCTCCTGGCAAAGGGCTGCGTTACACCACAAACACATCTACCTCTGGCCAACACGACAGCCTCACAGTCAGGATGCACCTGCAACACCAGACTGCAGTATCAGCCTTTTGCTCCAAGGCTGCAGCCTAGAGGTGGCCCTTGAGGAACATGTGCCGGGAGCGCAAGAGGATTTATCTGAGTGCTCCACACGTGGCACATGTCCCAGAGGCTACCAGGGGTTACAGGGCAGCCAATAGCTTGCAGAACCTCAGAGTCAGGGATGTGCTTCCAGCTGTTCCTGAGCTGGACACATTTACTTGGTGAAAGCAGTCAAGCTGCTCACGGGAGCACAAGCAGCTGGGGAGCAAAGGGATGCTCCAGAGACCCACAGTATATGCAACCTGCATCACCCAGATGAACCTTCCTCTCCTTCTCACTCACATGTGTTTGGGCAAACAAGGTATGTAGAAATCTCTCCCAGAGAAGACAGAATAAGCCATGGAAAACAGCATTTAAATATCTTTGCAGGGCTTGTAAAAGTTGTGCCCGCTCTTCTAGTTGGCCTTCCTTCGTTATTCTATTAGAGGGAAAGGACTGCAGGGGGTGATGCCAAACAGTAGTACCTCAAGCACAATCCTACCAAAGAGATGCCCCAGAGCTTGTGGAACAGTAGCAGCCCACAGCAGGGGAACATGTGGGACAGGTCGTTCCCAGACCACAACTTCACCTACCGGTAGCAGTCCAGGTAGTCTTTGATCCCTTTGAAGCTAAACCCATTGCTAGCAGAATCAGACCTGCAAAGAAACGGTTAAAGGGGCAAATGTGAACCATCAAAGCTACCTCTGAGCAAACCTGTAGACTTCAGTATCACAGTCTAACACAGGTTTGGGCATCACTCACCCACAGTAAATCTGCTGGTCACCATCTGGACCGCTAGCCTACGCATTTCAGCTCACACTCTGTCAGACTCCTTGCACACTTGCAAGACACCAAGTACACTGCAGGTGCCACAGAAATACGGGGTCAGTGTTGCTGACACCTTCTAGTTGCTTTGTATTTCTACTGCAATACAGCAGTCACTAAACTGGTCAAAATGTATTCCAGGTTTACATTTGCTACTCACCACTAGAGCACTACAGAACAACTAGAATATACCAGTGAACCTACTCCCAGGATCTCTGTCACAAGTTCGATCCTGAGGTAGCCAGCAGCACATACAGTGTGTGGTGCAGGAGGGGGAAGAGACATTATACAGCACACACAAGGATTCACATCAGCAAACTGCTTAAAAACTAAATTGATGGCTCTAGCACATAAGAAATAGACGATTTCTCACCACAACAGGACGAGCATAAGATCATCCAAAGAGCTAGCTACAATTACTACTCCTGTGATGTCTCTGCATCACCACCCAATCCAAAAGCCATATCCTGGAACAGGACACCATACGGCACCGTAATGTGCTATGCAGGGAAGAGGCAAGGCTCCAGTAACCTGCCCTGTAATACTCAATATATCACTGGTGGAGCTGGGGACACAAGAACCATGAGGCTGCACTCACCCTGACCAATGCCTGCAGAAAATGCATCCCTTCCTCTAGAGTGAAGGAGCTGAAAAGCTTTTCCTTGCCCTACCTTAAGAACTCAAGCAGGGAGTAAGTTTAGTCTTGTTAAAAGCAGAGATATATACAGAGCACCCACTCTCCGAGACGCTGATGAAGTGCAGTTCATAGACATCTTCAGTAACTACTGGATAGGTCCACAACTAAGAACCAGACCAGATGGGGAGAGCATTCACAGCAGCCCAGCTGCTCCCAACTCAGCATCAGACCTCAGCAAGACACGCGGAGCCTGAGCAACGTTTCACCAGGAATCTGGTGGGATTTAATCAAGTACAGACTGCAGTCCAAGAAACTGAACAGCCTTTTCTCCAAGCACCCTAACTGGCAATGCCTAATTTCTTGTAGACTGTTATTTCTCTACACCCTGTGTTCCTTCAGTCCTCCCAGCAACCCGTGTTCTTTTTGAGATTCAAGAGGCAAGAAAGAGCATACCTCCAAACTCACTTTAAGGGATGTGTGCGCTGACCAGCCAACCACTAAATGTATCTGCCCTAATTGTGCAACCAGAGCCCTGGCAAGCGCAGAATTTGGTCCCTGCCCAATAAGCAGACTCCCTGAAGCTTGCAGAAACTTCACATTGCTTGTAACTACTCATGATTTATAAGTTACAAAAGGAAAGATGACTGACAGCACAACTTGTTTTGTAAAGTAGCCGGGCGTGGAAAAAGATTTTAATCCAGATTACTGACAATGACAGCTTCCCACTGATATAACAGTGCCGCCATGTGCGTTCTGGCACTCCACTCTTACACATCACACACTGACCTTGCATCCAGCAGCTGCTCGATAATATCTGAAGTGCTTTTAGCCTCAGACTGGTCTTCCGTAACCTCCGCAGCAACCTCCGGGATAAACGTGGGATCTTCATGAATGTCAAGAGAACGCATGAGCGAGAAGTTGTTCAGCCTGAAAGAGAGAGTCACTGCTGGAGTTTGCAAGCTCTACCATGACTAATTTTTCAGAGTGTTGAGACCAAACCTCACCCAAGAACATTTTGTCTTGGCAGCCTGCTCTCACAGCAGGGAGTTGCAACAGTTACAAGATAATCTCTCACACCTCTCCTGAAGGCCGCAGAATAGATTTGATGCTTGCTTAACAAAACCTCCTACCCCTTGACATAAGGCCAGCCAGCCCCCATAAACCCAAGCTGGGAAAGAAATGGTGAAAGTTTTTGATTCACTTTAATTAGACACACCACCCACAGACCAGTAGAGACAGGAACGGGGAGGAAAAGAAAAGGAGAAAGTAGTATGAGCCATACATTCAAGTACCAGTCCTCTTAAAACAAGCACCTCTTCAGACTTTTCCATGACATGCTTCTGCACAGCTCGTTTGCAACCAAATATGACAGGGACTGCAACACAAGTCCAGGGCTTGAAACACACGAAGCAAGGAACTCAAGACCCTGTCACAGGTGTCAAGGAATGAACCACTGTATAACACCAGAGACACTTGTCTGGGTTTGATTCACTGAAAAAGTCCATGCCCCAAGTAAAAATTCAGGGGTACCAATTGTGTGTAATACATTTCTCAGTGTCCTGGGATCCGCACAGATGATCCATCGAATGACGGGCAACCTACGTGAGCCAAGCACGAACCTGAGGTTCCTGACATCCCTCACCCAAGTGGCCCTTAGCGCAACGTACGCTTGAAAGCACAGTTCCTTGACGAAAATGTAAGTGAGAGAGGAGAAAAGGTTGACCTGAAACAGTGACTATCTTCATAAAGAACATACTAAAACCTCTGAACTTCGTGTCTGGCCTCATTTCCCCACTACCACTATTCTTTTACCACTACTGGTGATAAACACAGCAGATTTGCGCACCCACAAGCTTTGAAAGGAAGACTGCTCTTTAGCAAAAGAACAGAAAAGCAAAGAGGCAAGATGGCGAATCCGGTTCCTATGCACCTGCCTGAGTGTGAAAAAAGGTTAATTTCTTCTGATAGAAATGCACTCAAACCAGAGTTCTTAAAAAAAAAAATTAGTAAACAACATCTACGAAATAATCCTGCTCACTCTCCAATCAAGTTACGCAGCTTCGCTCCTGGAAAAGGTCATTTCAGATAACCTGTAAGTGGTGTGCAATGCAAGCACCTTTAAAAAAAAAAAAGAAACTCGGAAGGGGAGAAAACTCCCCACTCTTACCTTATTAAGAATGGCAGTAAGCAGATTTGTCCAAAAGCCTAAAAGAAAGTAAGCAGAAACACTGGTTTGCAGTAACTTTGACCTGAACACCTCCCTCACCAGACAAGGAATGCTCCATGTGCTCACAATTGCTGCAGTCTCAGAGCACCCTAGAGAGCATGCAACGCTATGCAATAAAAAAACAGCGCGATACTTGTATTTCAGGCCACAAAATTGGCCCAAAATGCTCTCCCCCCCATACTTATATAAACAGCGTATTCTTCTGGCTCTGTCCCGCCTTTGTCCTACCCTGACTCAGCCCGGGAAGCCTGCAGCTGCAGGCTGCAACACTGTTAAGAGGCATCTCTATAGTGCCCATTTGGTACTTTCTTCCCGTTTGGCAGGTTACGCAAACACTGGATAATAATAAGCTTCTGCTGTATCTTGTTTATCCCATTGTCAGGATCTTTCCTGTTGCTAAACTAGCTCCTGCAGTAAACCAAGTGAACTTGGAAACGCGTGACAAATTCAAAGTCTCCACGGTACCAGGCAGCTGACAACACTCTTGGATTGCCTTGGTTCCCAGTGTAGCAATACCAGTGGTCCCAAAGAGACCAGCCTTGTTCTAGCCTGTCTTCATAGCTCAACAACGGACTTCAAAAACCTGCTGAGGGATGCACAAATACAGTGCAAGTCTGAGGCAAGGCTCACGCTCCTAGATCCACGAAGTGATATGCTACCTCACACATTACATAAGAATTACTGTCTCTTTTCGAAAACGCATTGCTGCTCATCGACATCCAATCCAGGACAGCACAACCCCGTAAGAGATCGAGAATCTCAGGGGGACGTCAGGAAGGGAAACAAGCCCAGGGCCACGCACCAGAAGCGGCCGCAAAGCAAAGGACAGAAAGGCAGCCTGGTTACGATGCCCTGGCGGACAGCCCCTCGCAAGGTGTTCTCCCAAAGCACGGCACAGCCCGTCACCAGCCCGCGCTCCAGGCCCAGCAGCCGCCGAGCCCTGCGACAGCTCGCGCTGCCGAAACGAGACTTCTGTGCTTAACTTTGACCCCGGCTCAGAAGCGAAGGCCGAGCGGCAG